GCAGCTTGTTCAGGAACTGCAGGGGACTTTCGGGCGAAATCTTTGAAAGCCAATAAGTCCAGATAGGAACAGCGTATTTTCATCATTTTTGGTGTGTAGGTATCTGACAGAGAGATGTACATAATTAACTGCAAATTATGCAAATAAGGACTTTATTTGCATAATTAATGAGGAAATTCTATAATTACAGTGTTTTACATTATAGAACTTTCATACATGTAATGTATGTAACCTATGGCAGATGGAACATCAACAGATACTAATTATGCAAATGATGACCTAATTTGCATAATCAATGCAAAAATCTATGATTTCTCAATGGTGAATGATGGGAATGTCATACTTGGGACATCTTTAAGTTAATCAAAAGTTAACATCACGATGCATACATTATGTTAATGCAGAGGTCATTTGCGTAATTAAAGAAGAAATTTACATTTACATATCAAGCCCATATTTCATGGAGGTATGAGATCTCGGAACTCTTGTTATTGAATGTTGTTTGTATATACTATGATAATAAATTATTGCGTTAGTTTTACGGTTTCAGTTTTTACTGCAAGGTCGATTTGTTCCACGTTTTATTAACAAAGCAAACACTACTACTAGTATCAAATGTCTTCACACATGATACGGATATGACGCCTGAAAACACGTCAAAAATCAGCCGAATTCGAAGCCGCGCCGAAACCTCTGCTTGGAGGGTACTTCACATTGGGTGGGTCCTACTGTCAGAAGGCTTGGCGGTACCTTTTTGGGACGTGCGAAATAATAGAGGCTAAAGCATGCACGGCACAGAGAGCCATGGTCATGCGGATTGCGTTTGTGTGCTTAAAACTCTACCGGGCAAATGAGACAAAGGAACCGAGACTGTTCTATCAAAACCACTTTATAATTTGCTGATGTAGAACCGACAAACACATCCCCATTACAGCCAGGTTTGTTAAACTGTGGCCGGTGCTTTATATATTTTGACTGAAACATACAGTTTGACTTTTGAGAAGTGTATAGATTTATCAAGACTTTAATTGTTGTTTAAGTCCTAATAATATATAATTTTGATATATATTTTGTCCGACTCTGACCTCTCCCCTGGTGACTTCAATAAAAGGCGGCCTGTAGGCTGATTTGATCTTTTATTGAATAAAAAAAATATTCAGACACTGCGATCTAAAGGTAAGTCGTAGGTCAGATTCTGAAGATTCAGAAAATGTTCAGAAACAGACGGTAATGCAGAGGGATTTCTCACATTTCGGGAAGTGGATTTTGTTACCAGGTGCAGTTATTGTCGTGACCGCAAGAGGCGCTTTTGACCAATCAATCAAGGCACACACCAAGAACGCCAGTGATGACACTTCACTACAAGACATTTGGAGGGTCGGACCATGGAGGTAAAAATATTTCGAAGTCGAGCCCTGTGACATGATAAGGAAAGTCAGATTATAGTTAGGTGACAGGGCGAGATACTTGTCGACTACACCAATATCCTAGCCTCGGTGCCAGGGTGGGGTAGCCAGCGACATTAGGGAACGGTTAAAGAGGATGACACCCAGGCTACCAATACTAGTATCCCACAACACGAGATTACACGGAGCCTACATATGTAGCTATGTCATCTGGGAAGTGCTAAAATCCGTCAAGATCCCTGCACCATACATGCCTTACAGAAATATCGACTGCAATCAGTTAAAGGTCACCCTCCCCTTGTGCCAAAAATGCCGGTAGCGATCCACCCCGCAAACCTGTTGGACGGCTTCGGACACTGGGTGGTGTTTATAAAATATTAGCCAACAGACAACATATAGTAGTAGTCTAGTCATCAGGACGCATACGCGCACTCTGCTGTGGTTAAAGTAGGGTTTCGGCTCGTTGTACCTTACAATCTCCGCAAATTTCCTTCCAAGCATCCCGTAAACAACAGGCTCACCAAAGGATTGTAACCAGGGAGGTGGAATTCCTCTAATGAGGATCACAAAATGGCGAAAAAAGAGACAGAGTGGCAATGCTTGGACCAGGACGACAAGGAGATTTTGGGTCGAATTGCCATGACCCAAGACAACGAGAACAACACGAGCCTTCAGTGGCTGTTCTCGCGTCTTCAGGGCAACCCTACGGTCGACGGAGACTTTGACGCGGAAGAGAAAGAAAGACTTCAACTAGAACAACTGAAGGAAGAGCCCAAGAACTTGTTGCTAGCAGGAGAAGGGTTGTTTTTAGCCCTCTTCTCCGGAGTGAGTTTGTCGAGCTCGTCCATTCTGGCCCGACTGGCGGCCAGCTCAGGAGTGCCCGACATGCAGGTGGTGTTCTTTAACGAACTGGCGGCGTTTATCCTGTTCGTCCCACTAGTGTTGGCATGCCGAGGGCCTCTGTTGGGAGAGAACTGGAAACATACGGGGCTACTTTTTCTCGCAGGTGAGCCAGTCTGCTCGGACTCTAGCTCGTACTACAATTCGTTTAAACTTCACAGAGTGTAACAGAAAAACAACTCTAATGCTACAAAATATTTCACATTTAGTATACGAACGGGCCCAAGATTCTTTACAAATAAGGAGGAGTAAACACTACTAGTTACTTGTAAGTCTATCTAAGTAGAGAATGTAGCTTGCCCCCTCCCCAGCTCCATTAGAATTGCCTGAGGGCAGTTTGGCTTGACTTAACGCAAGCTAGTTCCCACACTCGCATTTGTAATGACGTGTACTGACCTCATTGTACCTACTCGTAGTCGGCATACAGTCACGAGTTTTACTTTTTATCCTTCCTTTTTGATATTCCCCCACCTATATAGTTGAACTGAAATGAATTTGATATCTTTGACAAACTATGTATCTTACAAATATTCAAACAAGGATTCCTTAAAGTGTTTATGAAACCTGATACATGTATGTACCGTAGTATTCGGTTGACCTTCTCATTTGCGCCCAATGTACAAAAGATCTCATCAAGGAAACAAGCTTAAGATGGGATAACTTCCAGACAGTAGGATTTTGGACCATCGCACACCTTGACAAGCATGGCCTTACTCTTATTCCACAGGTGTGATGGGTTCTTTAACGTGCTTGGGGTGCGGCTTCTAACATTGTTTATTGCACGTTGTTTCCCCCGTGCAGGTGTCGGTCGCACGTTCGTGACGGTGTGGTTCTACGTGTCCGTGTTCTACATCCCACCGGGCAACAGTTTCGCCATCCAGCGGGGCGCCACGCCGCTCTTCGCCGCCCTCATGGCGCTGGCCTTCCTCGGGGAGAAGCCGGGCTGCGCCAGCTCCATCGGCATCGTCCTAAACCTCCTGGGCGTCGTGTTACTCACACAGGGACCTACGTACGGGTGGGAGGAGCTGGAAAAGACGTTCGGCATCAGCCCTGGACATGAACCGAACGTCTCGCCCGTTCTCATCGGTAACGCGCTCGCCATCGTGTCGGCGCTAGGTCTGGCGGCAGTGAACGTAGTGAGTCGAGGACAGCTCGCCAGCACACCCTTGTTGACGGTCCTGTTCTGGATGGAGTCGCTAGGAGTCGCCATCACGCTACCTCTCATGTACATGTTTCCTAGGAAACCCGTGTGGGACTTGGAGGGAAAGGTGTACGGATACCTCACAGGAGCAGGTTTCATATACACGGTCGGCATCGCCTGTCTGTACCGCAGTTTGAAGCTGGAGAAGGCGTCGACTGTGGCCCTCCTGCGAAACGGGAACGTCATACTGGCGTATCTGATGCAGGTTTTCATCCTGCACATCCACCCAGCAGGGATGGAGATCGCTGGAGCAGTGTTGGTCCTGATCAGCACGGCCATAGCCACCATGGTGACGTGGCTCCAGAACTGGAAGAAACGTTCTGAGGAGGTTCGACAGAGACTTGAGGCAGAGATGTCCGAAAGAAAGAGATTACAGGAGGACGGGAGTTAAATGTTAAAGTTTTTAATTCAGAACCACTTGTTTAAACAAGAGTCGACGTTTTCGTCTGTTATCTTTGTTTCATCAGGGCGTTTATGACTGATTCACTGTGCAGAGTAAAATAACAAAGTTCTTTATTCAAAACCACTTGTTAACAAGAGTAACGTTTTGATGACCGTCTGTCATCTTCATCAGGGCAGTTATGACTGATTTGCTGTGTACTGAATGGAGATGTAGGTCCACTATACACTAAAGCTAGGTGCACTGCTAACAATGCAAAGTAATTGTGACATACATATACATTGTATATTGTTACAACACGTGAGATATGCGGTCCCAAGTGTGTCGTTATATACAACATGATATTGTTCACCAACAATATTGAGTAGCAACTTAAGATACGACAGACAAGTGGTCAGTTTCTACCTTTATGATCTAAATACTAGTAGCTTATTTCGGATCATTTCGATCAGTTAACCGTATTGCTAACTAATTTGTAACTTAGGTTTATTTATGTCGAACCATCAGTTAACCGTATAACTAACTGTTTTGTAAGTAATCTTTGAACAATCGAGGCGGTACTAATAATGATTGAATCAGTACAAATCTCTTGTTCTTTGATAAGAGAACAGCGTTTATTAGGATTATAGTTTTGATCGATCAATATTGGATACTAAATGATTAAACTCTCACAAAACTACTCAACGTGTTGAATTGTCTGACTGTAAAAAGAACTATACAACACGACAATCACTCACAACTTTCTAATCAAAAGAGTATTTAAGTATTATCGATGTGTTATTCAGCTGTACAAATTTCTATACAGTTTTTCATATATATAGATAGTACTTGTCCATACCCACATTAGTGGCTCCATAAAGGTTAGTAGCTGTAGCTGTTTAGTCCTTGTCTTTCCCATAGATTAACTGGGAAGTACCTTCTACAGCTTTGTTATTCTTATACAGATGCTGAACAGCACCAGAGGCTACTTTCTTAGTTTCATTGTCATAAACAGACTTAGAAGCAGCAAATTCTTTGTCTTTCCCATGGATTAACTGAGCAGTACCTTCTACAGATGTGTTATTCTTATACAGAAGAGCACCAGAGGCTGTTTTCTTACTTTCATTGTCATAAACGGACTTAGAAGAAGCATATTTTGCTTTCTCATCGTCGCTGTCATACTCATAAACGTCCTCCCCATCTTCAAGACCATTAGACATCATTGTGTCACGGTCATTCTCGCACACAAATATAGAAGCTAACTCCACATTACAATTTTCATGTACATCGGTTTGCTCCTGAACCACAGACTCAACACATACAATGTCATCATTATCGTATGGATGTTGCACAGCCACAGAGTGAATAGATGCTACATTTTCATCATCATTTTCATACACATTTCCGTGCACTTCAGATGACACTACTTCATTGTCGTTGTGTGACCCAGATATAGGAGCAACCATCACATCTTCGTTGTCATTTTCATACGCAATTACAGATACAGTACCAACCTCCTCTAATTCATTGTCATTTTCATACGCATTTATAGATA